AGACTAACATTGAAGGTATTTTCTTCCGATAGTGTTAAGAGGATTTGTTTTCCATCCTTGTTGAGGTTATTTTGGTGGAACGATAAAGTTATGGGCGCAAGGATTAGCGTGTCGCTGGTGATGCGCCAGACAACTCACCACCGCTCCGAATTCCTTCCTGCCCTAGGGACCATCTTACCCCGCACCCTTTGGGGCACCTCAGGGTGCAGAAGATGGTAAGGCCCTCAGGCCGGTCTTGCGCTTGCTAAAGGTTTACCCCCCCTTAGTGTGCGCTTCAGCCAACGCCTGAGTATCGAGAGCGACCCCATGGCTCAAAAGAGGTCACTCGTGTATGGGCATCACATAGCGCGCCGACATCACGACTGCGGGCGCAAATCCGCATTGTTGGTCGGTATTCGTGGGTCTTGCATCCACGCGACTTTATACTAAACCACACGCGCAACACTTACCGATTTTCGCGCTCTAAAGTTATGGGTCAAGCGGAGAGAGCAAAAGCACGTTATGGCCAGTAGGCCCGAGCTTCGGCCGCGCGAAGCGACGCGTAGGCAGGGAATCATCCCTAATCGCCTTATGGGGCCCCGCGTACGAGTCTCCAACATCTCGAACGTCGGGCGGCCTATGGGCCTGATTTTGGGCCTTACCCGTGCGCACCCCTCGCATTGGCCTACCCCTTCCAAGTTGGGACGACTATCAGACTATCTGCAGTTGTTTCCTCCTTTAAGTTATCATGGTTGGATGTTGTAGTCCGTGGTAGCCGTCAAATTCAAACCCCTTGATTTTGACTACCATGACAGCCTTGAAGCTGTCTACTCAACCCCTCTGCACAGGGTGCAGAAGAGGGTGTGGTCTTCAACCGCGCATGGCGGTTGTCTGGCGTCAAGAGATTACCCCTCAAAGCGCCTGTCAACCGACACTTGAGTGTCGAACGTGACCCTCGAGATTATCAAGGGTCGCGAGGCTACGAGTACCACATAGTACCCCAACAGCGCAAATGCTTACGAATGCCCGCATGGCTGGTCGATATGAGGAGGCCATGCGCTCGCACGACTCTTATACGAAAGTCCAGCGCGCGGTACCTATCTGAGTCTCGCGGCACAAAATTATGGGTCGGATACTGAAGGGACTAGGAGTATTGTGGTGTTGTGACGTCGTTCATGATGTCTGTTTTGTGTATTTCCATGTGCTATATGTGGGTAGATGTGAGTGTTGTGGTATACGCGTAGTGTGCATGATGCGTCCTAGTCGACCGGCGCCAAGTCGCGTTTGGGACCTCAGCCCCCCCAGAACGTCGATTCGCATGCGAGTTCGATTTCTTGGGCGTTCGACCGCGCGTAGCCCCCTATGCTACAGCGAACGAGAAACGCCCTCGGCTGCGCCACCTCTGCAATTGCAAACGAAAAGCTTTCGCATGTGGTTCAGTAGCTCGGCGTGGATACGCCCACCTAAGGGATGGTGACAACTCCCGCAGATGGAGGTAAGCGGTGTCTCGCGTGACCCTGTCCTGTCATAGGGGCTCGCGAGAGGTACGGCTGGCGCACTCGTCCGGAGCGGCAAACGCTCTCCGCGATAAGTCCTGCATAATCCTGCGTGACGCGGCCGGGAGGGTCCCCGTGAGGGACCGATGCGCTCGACAACGTGGCTCTTTCCTTGTGCTCGTCTTCACTCCGTATTTGGTAGTGAAAGTCGTTTGATTCGTAGCGATCGAAACGCTGGCATTCCGTGCACAGGGTTCGAGGCCAATGGGGCGCCACTGTCATCCACGGAATGACGATCAACTCGTTAAATGGCAATAGTACTGAGTAAGGCGGGTAGTGCGTATCGACAATGACAAAGCCTGCGTCCACGAATCCAGAACAACGATTTTCAGGAGAGAAGTGATATCGTCCGCTGATCCGTGCGACAGTTTCTCGTACGTCCCACTCACAAACACTTATCCTTTCCTCGTCGAAAGGGAAGGGGCGCGTTGGCGAGGGAGATATAGGAGGCTGGCGCCCGATCGAGGTACGCCCATTAGTCCACATGTCAATTAATCTGAATGAGTTTGTAGAAACCCTGAGACGTCATCAAAAAGTACAATCGTAAAAACAACCTAACATTTTCCTTCGTTTCGACATGAGGGAAGCATCGTACAACCATGCAATAATCGGGGTGGAGTTTCGAGGGATCAACCCGCGACTCAGGTTCGGCAGACCAGATCGACAAAAATCCGAGGCGCCTGGCTTTTTTGAGGCTGCCCCATAGACTGTTTGCAGATGTCGTGCAGTAAGGCAGAGGGCATGCGCAGTGTATTCAGAACGACAGATCTAAACACTCTTGCATTCTCGGACAAAATCCCGTCGAGTT